CAGAAAGCTACTGTTTATCGGCATGTGGCTGACTATATATTACTTCAAAAATCGTTTTATGACAATTTTATCTACATTGGTAAGAGGATATTATGATATTGTACGACTGGCAAAAAACATCACAATTTTCACAGCCTGTGTGCTTAATCTGTGTTTTAATTGTGTAAGCTTATTAAAGACAAAGTTACTCCAGTTGTAATTGTATTATTTGATACTGTCATAGAAATAGCTGCATATTTTTTAGGACACTATGTACTTTCACTACATTGGTGAATGTGTAAGACCTGCATTACTTGAGCATTCCTCCAGTGCTCACGCTCCAAGTTAGTTGTGTTTGATGACGTACTGAGCCATATGGTCAGGCTCACATCATTGGACCATTGTTGCCTCAAATACCAGTCACTGGATTGTCTGGACCAGACAGCTGAGTGTGGTTCTAAACAACAAATACACACACAATGAATCCAAACAATGACATACCATGATATAACTCAAACATTGTACAGAGTCATGTTAAACCCAATTCACTTGCTCTGTCCTAACTCACAGTAGTTGTTGAATTCGGGTATTCATGAGTCTGTGTACAGCCTCAGGACCTCCATCACTTGGAGCAGTCTTCAAATTATGCTGACATGCCTTGACACAACGGAAATACTGTAACATGAGGGTTAACGCCAAGTCAATCAATTTGTGGCTATTGATCAGAGTAGGAGTTAGTTGTTGAGCTCATGAGAGTATACAGTCTGACAACTACTTAAGTCTTTCCTCATGGAAGTACAGTACCATGATATTCACATCATGTACAGGACCCAGACCAAATGCACTGTCAGCATAATGCAGTCCATTTGCAACTCTTCATTTGCTTATGATCGTGGATGAGTGTCCATGTAAAATACAAATGAATTAACATAGGCTATGTTGTGCTACTTGTACAGAGACAAATATTAACCCTAGCCTGATTGTTGCTAAATGTTCACCATTTTTGCTGGCCTAAACAAACTTTCAACACAGTAATTACACTGACTTGGGCAGCAGGGTTAAGCAAATTTCTATTAGTGTACAGACATTAGTTGTTCTTCAGCAGGTGAATCAGACAAAGTGTCTGTTCTGAGTAGACAGGTAATACCTGTGGTCAGAACATAAGCTGACAAAGAGGACTTTGTGTGTATTGATGAGAGCAGAGTCGAAGGCCAATCATTAGCCAGGACCCCAAAGCCTCTAGTATCACTGACACTTTCATCCATACAGAGTTTGAATAAAGAGTGAGTGTTTGTGTATTAATATTTACATTTTATGTATTTATACAATATCAGAAACATGATACTATTCAGTCTGTTGAAATGGGGTGTGTGTCATCAAATCAGTTGTGTGAATATATTGCATATATCAGTGTCAGGAAGAATGATAGAAGTATTGAAGAGCCTCCAGGGGACCTTGAGATTTGATACTATTGTATTGGGTTATGACAAGGACTCCTTGACTTCCAGGTAGTTAGGGTGGTGGAATTGGGTTTAACGTCGTGCTTGAGAATATTTCGCTCATAAGACGTGCATGCGTGTGTATGTGTATGTGCAGCTGCTTGTACTAGCCCAGACTGAAGCTGGTTTTATGGTGCTAGCCCACGGTGATACCATGCCGCAGTGAAGCATGAATAGCCCACTCAGACACATTATACTGACACTGAGCTGACCAGTCCTTGATGTACCCATTAATGCCGAGTGCCAGGCAGGGACCAACAAGTACCATATTTTAACGTCTTTTGGTATGACGCGGTCGGGGATCAAACCCGCGACCTTCCGCGCCTCGGTGCGGGCCTAGCTCACTACACCCGCGGTGCGGTCTAGGTAGTTAGGGGCACAGGTGGTCAAGCAGCAGTGGTACTGTATTCTCTATACAGGGCTGAAATCCAGAGACCAATCCTTGTATCCTCTTGTCTTGGTTCACCTGGGGCGGTGGGGTAGCCTGTTGGTTAAAGCGTTTGCTCATCACACCAAAGACAGGGGTTCGATTCCCCACATGTGTACAATGTGTGAAGCCTATTTCTTGTGTCCCTTGCCGTGATAGTGCTGAAATATTGCTAAAAGTGTTGTAAAACTAAACTCACTCACTAACTAACTCTTAGTTCACCCTGATAGTGGTTGTTGATATGTCAGCACTTTATAATGAGTAAAGTAATAAAACTTTTCAACACTGTAATATGTTTTGTCACTGCTGATCAAATGTCTTTGTTTCCAGTACATCAGAGGTCCATTATATAGATAAACAGATCATATATATCGATATCAATAATATCAGGCTAAATTTGTCAATTCTCTTTAACATTTTGTCTTTTTATATGTATCAATTATCCTCTTGAGTGTCTCAAAGAAGTTGATATGTCAATAAATCATTGATCTGGAGATGAAGAAATTGATTAATCATAAAGTAGTAGGCTACTAAGTAGGCAAGTAATGATCTGTTGAACTATCGTGAATAGTTGTGTACTGTAAGATAGTACCATATCAATAGGAATTAATAAATGCCAATAGCTTCATTGAAAGGATGCATAACAATCGTGTCAATGGTTGCAATAAGTGAATAACTTATAAATAGAATTTTGTGAATTTCCAAATGGCCTTGGGGACGATAGGCAGGATGTCAACAACTTCAGATTACAGCTACTTCCATCTGGTTCCAAGAAGCAACAGGGATGAACATTTCAAACTTGCCAAGATTGACAGCAATACTGTATCCTGTTATGTTGATTAATACAATTGTTAAAGGTCACATGCAACCAAAAATCAAACATAATTAAAACACAATTACAGTGGAAACCGCCTAAGTAAGGAGCAAAGCAACTAAACAGACCTGATAAGTAAACACTTTTCTTTGGTCCCGGCAAATTTCTTCATGAATTATCACTATTAGAGTCTGGTTAACTAAACTCGGATAAGTAAACAATACCGCTTAACTAAACGTCTCTCACGGTCCCTGGAAGTAAATTACTTAACAAAAGATACTGGATAACTAAATTAGCGATCACCACATAATCCAACATGAGGGGCAGTCGTGTCAGTCTCCAGTCAAACAAACATCCTACTTACAGCTCGCTGGCGTCAAGCAGTTGACAATACACTGACAACTGGAGGCCAGCCCTGATAAGTTGTTCATTGTTACATGTGGATACATATACATGCATATGGTAGTCATTTGCAGGTTTTTATAAGTTTGGATAAGTAAAATACCTGATAAGTAAACAATTTTGGCGAGTCCCTTGAAATTTTACTTATCAGGTTTCCACTGTATCACTTATTCATGACATATAATATACATTGCTGGTTATGAAAAAACATATAAACAAAATTATAAAGCGTACAATCGCAAAATCAAAGTGCAATATTATTGTACCGGTTTTACTTCCCAAGAAGCGAAGAAGCGGGATACCGAACCCAGTCAGGAAGGTGGGTGTGCACTCAAGTGTAACGACTGGTTCATTAGCAGATGCTCTCACGGCTCATTGTGTGTGTGTATATAGAGATGTTGGGTTTTGTAAATACATGCTCATTGTTTGTGTATAACATTTTACAATCAACAGACATCATAACATGTCATGTGTTCAAGTATCACACCTGCCTGTCTGTGTAATTACATAATGTGACAGAGACCGAACTTCGGGCCATAAATCAATGCATTTTGTTTATGGTGTATAGCCTGATTGGTGTTAAGTTCAAATTGCATGTGGTCAGTGATAGCAGCTGTGTATTGAATATTGTCATTAGCAGACAGGCAGGCAGACACACAGGTGTCAATAAAACAAGACATTGAGTTTTGTCTGTGACAGCGACACATCTATATCACAGTTAGAAATTCTGTCAGCTAAATAATGACATTGCTTTTAAGTATCGAACTGAGAAAGTGACTCGGGTAAGAAGAGCGTGTGGTGAAATAGACAAATGAAATTATATAAACAGTTAATTTACTGTCATAACATATAAAAAGCTTCGCCTGTGAGATATCAACAAAACATTAGAAAAATAGCTCACACCAAAGCCTTCACCGAGTATTCACCAGACAACCCGCTTCCAAGCTGCGCGAACCTATTTCACTGCGCACCTGCTATGAGCGCAGCCCAGCTGTTGAAACCAGTTTTCCCCCGAAAAGTCGGGAAACTTAGTGAATTGTTTGAACTCCGATTTCGCGTTTTTTTTCATCGCGTTATTTTTCAACTTAATAAGTTGAATTTGCATTTTTGATGATTTTTTACGGTAAGTCCATACCGAAAGGTATCAGAATCTGCAAAGTTGTGTTTTACGTTGCATGTGACCTTTAAGGTTTAATTACTTTAAAGTTGATTTACTTCTGTTAGGATACTATTTCAATAGTCAGTGTTCACGAATGGTGTTTCAAAGTAACAGGACATTGGGTCCTGTAAGTTTAAGATGTCTGTCTGACCCATTGAAAATTCACAGGACCCATGGAATAAAATTAAACACACATTTCAGATTTAATATTTCTTATAATTGGCTTTGAAATTATTAACAAACAGAAGAAAAGTTAAGATAAAATAAACAGCAAACAAGTGTCACATGTCACATATAACAACTTCAGTCAAAGTCATTGTGAAATATACAGTCGGACACTGGGGCGGTGGGTTGTAGACTTCTATCGGACCATTGGCGAATCTGCCGGATTTGTCAGAGGGCCAGACACTATTCGCGAACACTGAATAGTGTGGGCTACTATTGCCATACAGAGTTGTCTACCTGGGTTTGAATCCTCACCTACTGCAACTTATTCTGAAAACATCCTGGTGAGCCGGCCCAATTTATTACATGGACATAGGCAGAAACTAAAGAGAGGGAGTAACACGACCAGAGTCACAATATGAAGATCCTATGATAGATTAACACCCACCCTTATCTACCTGCATCCACTCCACTCCACTCCACTCGATAAAGGTTATACTCAGTGTATGTTGCTTTGTTGTTTAACAATGCATTTTATTGTTTCATCTGTTTCAGGGTTCTACAGTTGACAGACAAGCAAGTGACAAAGAAAGGGTATGTCATCTTGAAAAGTCCATTCCAGGGCGATCTAGGGTGTTGGGGTAGCCTAGTGGTTAAGCATTTGCTCATCATGCTGAAGACCCTGGGTTTGATTAATCACATGGGTGTGAAACTAAACTCACTCAGTTGTACCTGAGCTTTATTCTACATAAAACTGACACACAGAATATATTACACATTAGTATTGAAGCCCCCTCACTTCGTTGTCATCATGAGAGAGAATAGTGTCACTAGTCGACCTGAATGTTACAGATATGTGTGCGTGCGTGCAAGAGAGAGAGAGAGAGCACAAAGAAAATATGCTGGCCGTAAGAGGTGACTTAACCGGCCAAGTGGTCAGGCTTGACTGACACTGAAGAAAAGGGGGTTGCTCCCTCCTGCCTTGTCATTGTACCCTGATTGCATGGATCTTTGCTTACAATATCTATCACTGGATTGTCAGGTCCAGATTTATCTGCAGGCCACCATCATTCAACTTGAATTTTGCTGATGTGACAATAAACATGTGCACATACTGTCGAAGTATTTCAATAAATTCACTAGTGTTGTCATATGTAATTGACTGTCTATAAGATGTATGTGTGCCCTCAGTTCTAAAACATATTATCTTCCAGTCATACAGATGTTAACATTATATTCAAATTTGGACACATTTTTATCCATGATTTGATGGTGGTTGTTTATGTTCTACAGCAAAAGAGTCTGCCAACGTTAAAAGATGTGGACTTTGTGAATGATGGCGTCACAATTCAAGTTGGACAAGAAGCCAAGGATAAACTCATGCCGACATTAACAAAAGGCGTTGAGGTATTGATACACAGTTGCTCAGATGTGATGACTTATCATAGTATTCCCAACATGTTTGTGCTTGACCATCATGTATTCTGTGGGGAGTCTGAAATCTTTGAAAAACAATCTTCAAGGATGCTTATGATGATGTATGTTCCGTAATATACACTTCGTAACTTTGATTAAGTGGATAAAGGGAAGTCGCGAAATTCATATTATTTTAAATGCATGATTTCATTTTGTATCTCACTGATTATTTTATTCATTGATTCAACAAATTGAAAATGCCTAATATTCCACTCGTGAATGACACATTTGTTTTACGGAAGCCATTTGCTATCATCACCCATTAGGTATTGCCCACAAAATGTGGCGTAACCTTGTTTAGTGCATTACGTAGTCGGTTACTTTATACCACTATATGCGACAAAACACTGCAGTAAGTATTGACACCAAGGAAAGCAGACAGCGAAGTCACGAGAAGGTTGGGGCTAGCGGTATCTTTTACTTGAAATTTACATTAAAAATAAAATTTGGTAATGGTGGTATTAGTGATCTGGTGCTATTTATCTCAATGCTGGACAATTATATTTAGTGTACTTGCGTGTAATGCAGAGATTCAGAACTTTTTTATCAGCGAGGCGTGGCATTGTATGTACATCAAAAGTACCGCTTCGTGACGTCAGTCGAGACTTAATTTACAAGCTAGCACAATAATATCCGCGATCCACGAATCAAGGTTATCCACGAATTTAGGTTACGGTTCTGTATGTCTTGTGGATCTTTTGAGAATCTTCTTCATATTTTACTGAGAAGATAATTTTGTCTTGTCTGATGCTGGAACTTATTTGACCTTGAGTCGGCCGGTATAGTGGAAAAATGATCAGGGCAAGTGATTTTACATGTGCCACTGTACCGGAGTACACTAGCAGCTTTAAAGTTATTTCCATCCCTGAATACCCCAGAGCATCCTATGCTGCCATTGATTGCTGTCATCGTCTAATGGTAGCTCCATCCAACTGAGATGACTGTAGGTACTAGTCACCTATCTACATATAAAGTATATGTAAAATAAGATTTGTGTCACTGACTCTTTCACCAGGCAGCTTAGTTGGGTAGAAATGAATATTTCATACCTGTTTTCATTTTCCTAGTTGTTAAAGTACAGTTTGAAATCTACTTTTTCAGTTCTTGGCAAGCTTGCACCTAATGGACTACAGTCTCATTGTGGGCATCCGCGACCCTGAGAAAGGTGATTCAGATCAGACCGACTTGCCAGCCCCTGGCGATGGGGAGGGGGGGCAGGCGAGGAGGAAGAGAATGGGTTGGAGGAGGAGATGACTGATGGGTATGGAGCCGTCCCACCCACGGACAGCCCCAACCTGCCACACCCACCCCTTCACAGGAGAGCTGGACTCCAAGCTGGAGCAGTATGCAATTAAAGTAGTGAAAGTAAGTTTTAGTTTGAGGAATCCCAGGGGGGACTGGTTTAGAACTTCTACAAACACTGGTGACCCATGAAAATCCAGGTTACAATTGGTCTTCAACCCATACCTGTCTTAAAATGACGTCTGGCGGGATTAGGTGGAGAGACTTTCTGAAGTGGTTAACACATGTCATTGTATCCTAATTGCGTAGATTGATGCTTATGCTGTTGATCACTGGAATGTCTGGTCAGACTTCGATTATTTACAGATGCCATATAGCTGGAATATTGCTGAGTGTGGCATTAAACAACAAACAAACAAACACTGGCCTGTTGTTGCAGTATTTAAGGAGGGATGACAGTCTGTGCCAACACCAGTCTGTTCAATTTGACTCTCAGCATTAATTTTAGTATGATTTGTGGTTACTATGTGGACTACCAGACCAAAACAATTTTGATGGATTTGGGCTTTCCACAAGTGGATGAACTCAGAGACTGGGATCACATCCAGGATGGTGAGTGAGTTTACTTTAACCCAACACTCAGCAATATTCCAGCTATAGGCCAGCAGTCTGTATATTGGATAGAGTGGTCAGACCTAACGGCTGGGCAGATTTTGTCCTGTTGATCGCTGCTCTCCTTGTAAGTCACCACTTCCACCACCACCACATAGCCTGGATATTGTGTTAAGCAACAAACAATGTCATTTCGCCTGAATTCCTCCGATAGCAATTTCAGCTCTCATACGCCATCATCTTCCATTCCAGATCAAGAAATCTATTTCATGGCCCTCATTGATGTCCTGACAAAATCACGGTATGAAGAAGCGGACTGCACAGGCTGCCAAGACAGTCAAGCCGCGGGGCAGGGGCAGAAATATCCGCGGTCAGGCCTGACCAGTATGCCAAAGATTTCTGGAATTCATCTCAAGAGTATCGAGTAAGCACAAGCCTACAAGGTGCACAGTGCACAGCCTCGTCCCAGGGAAGAGTCCTTTTGACTGTAGTACTGCAGATGAACTTACTGTGTAAAGGGTCCAACTGTCCTCTAGGTTGATACCTGTGTATGCATGGTCACCATGAAGGTGTCATATGGATTGAGAGTGTATGGACTTACGGTCTCAGTAGCAGTTATTTCAGTATGTGATATTCTGTTTTCTAAGGTTTTTCATTTTGTGATTATTTAGGTCACATGTTGGTGGAAAGACTTCTTCAGGGACTGGATTTTTTTAAAGTATGAACATTACTTCCTTTGTCATTTGATCTTTGAATTCTTTTAAAACCAGATTCATTTTAGAGTATTCCCCTTTTTATCCTTGCCATTGTGGTGGTTGACTCCGTGAGAGAAGCAACACACAGTATCTTCCATGTTCATGTTGTGTGCATTTATGTATTTCAAAACCAACACTCTCATTTCACATGGAATCTTCCTGAATGTAGACGCAAGTACAATATCGTAGTGCCATTTTAAAACTTTCGCATTGCCTTTTAGGTATTTCTGTTTCACCTCCCAAATAATGAATCAGATATCCAAGAACTAGTTATTTCTAATATCTGTCTGTTTTCACCTCTCAGTTTTCATAGGGTTCAGAAATTGTAATATTTTCATTTTTTACATTTTTTTCGTCGTTTTAAAAATGAAATTATTCTGCACAAATGTGCAATGAAAATGGTGATTGTGTTTTGTTTTTCAATGTAATGACTGTTATACTGTTAAAACAAACTGATGAAGTTCCTATACATCTTAGACTATGTAATGGTAATGGTTATACAGCTCATGGGTGACAAAACAAACATGAAGTTCCTGTTCACGCTATCTTAGACTATGTAAAGGTAATGGTTATACAGTTCATAAGGTGACTTACATTCAGAAACTCTTTACATTTTGTGTTCGGTACAACTTGATTATGTTTTGTTGTATGGGACCTTGTCCCGAAAGAGCCATGAGGGTGTTCTGCGCTCTGTTCAAAATGGTTATGACAATGGTTTAGATCTGGACCTCCTGCAGAATCACCATGTTTAGAGTTGGCCTTGATTTGTAATGCACTGAATGTCACCAGTGTGCTGGATCTGTCATGGAGGTTGTATGTGGGAAGGTTTATCCTAAATACTCCTGATGAAGAAGATGTGCAGTTGCCCTGTCTATCATTTTGCAGAGGAATCATGATTCACAAGGTAGAAATGAACCTGGAGAGACCAGGAGAATGTTATTCAGTATATTCAGTAGATGAGATCTACAGCGTATCATGTCAGTACTACCCACACTTCTTCCACTTCTGTAAAAGCCATCCTTAATGACACATACACAAGATAAGTTGCCTGTCTAGTAGTACTAGTCACAAGGGCTTTTTCTGTTAAATGTTATATTCATGAGCATAACGTCAGATACCATTGATACAATGGGTTCCTTCCCTTGATAGTTTGCTAGAGTTCTCAAAAAATCAAACTGTGATGAAAGAGTTGTTGTCCTGACAAACACTTTCTACATAATCACAAGTTTGGATGACCCTTGAAAATTATCAACAGAATAGAACCTGTATATTTCATTTCATTCTTCATAATTTTTTTTATCATATATGCCAAAACACATTCAATGGAGATGCGTAATTCCTTTTCTCATTTTTTTCTATGATGTTTGTTGACAAAGTCTATTCTTGTCAGTGCTTGTGCTTGAAATTTTGTCATCCTTTTTGTCATGAAAACTGTCTTGTAACCTCACTTCACACACAATACGATTGTGGTTACCACTGTTTCAGTCTTAGGTAGACAGATGATATGACCTTTGCAGGAGTATTATTCTTTGTTCTTCTTTCCTTTCTGTTCATGCACTTGGCTAAGTCTATAACCTTTGATAGACAATGTGCTCGTATCGATCCCATACACTTGGAGGCATCAGGTCAAAGGGAGATAACTCTGTGAAAGACTACATAATAATTGTAACAAAGGCTCAAATGAAGAAAGTGAGAAAATTCAAAGATGTCTTTATTGTGCAACATTGCAATATCTTTGAATTTCTTCAGTTTATGGATTCTCAGTGTATTAATAAACATGTTTTACCAATGTGCTACTGTGAAGCTTGCATTCCTGTCAACACAGGTGAACTGGGGATGGAACTCAATTAGTTCTTGGATTATTAAAGGTGAAATCCAAAACCATATTTCAGAGAAGTCTTCTGAGATCTCTGCCATTCTCTACTAAATGGCAGGGGCACAATTAAAGTCTTCATCAATAAACAACCTGCCAGAATGTGTATCTATGTTACTGATAATCATTATATGAGCTGATGGGCACCAGATTATGTAACAACTTCATTAAGTTGAGGGAATGCAACCTGAGTTTGCTTCCTTTGAATTATTCTCACACAAATTTACACTTATCTGGTTACAGCATTCACTGTGTATGTGAGTTTCATTCCCCATGGATTTATTTGTTGATTGCTGGTGTTACCTGGCATGATGTTGGTGGAATACAGCTAAAAGTGGTAAAACAATATTAACTCATGTCTGGAAGCTAATATGTGTGCATAAACACATCTTGTGAAATTGGAGTATCAATTTGTGTGATGGCCAGCTTTACCTTTTTATTATGATCAACTTTTTATTTAATGGTTTAATTAATGGTAGAATTTGGGAAGGGGGCTGCATACTTACTTTATGACCAGGGTTAGTAGGAAAAAACATACCTCAACTTCGATTTATGTCATGTGATGATACAGGTTCTGGAAGACATTAGATAGTGCTCACTGGCGACCTTGATCCAGGTTTGAAGGTACAGAACACATGTAGTGAACTGCTTGGATTGCTCAATGGATTCCCTACTTACCTATACAATCATGTATCGTGTCTGTTTAGTTCATTATTACACACTATGAATGTGAGTATATCACAGGATCATGAGAAATTCTTGTATTCACATTTCCTGAACAAATTGGTTGAGTTTGTAATGGCCAGAGAGATCAAAATGTTTCACAGAGACTTCAGGTTTTTCAGTGAATCATGAAAGCGGTCTTCACTGTGAATCAGGTATTTGAATGAAATTTGTGACAGTTCTCTAGACTTGCTTCATGATCATAATTTGACCTGCAGGTTGTCAACTTGTATTTTTATAGACCATCAGGTACTTCTGTCAGCTTCATCCTTCAAGCCCAATCAGATCACTTCACACACCTTCAACATTTTGATGCAAAGCCCATTTCTGGTGTCCCCGCTATGATATTGCTGGAATATTGCTAAAAGCAGTGTGAAAGTAAACTCACTCCTCACTCAGCATTTGGATGTCACTGAGGTCATTCCAACAGGTTACTGACAAACATTGGCTGGAAATGTGGTTGTGTGTTGGACTCATGGTATACTTTTAAGCCTTGTTCTATCTTCTGGAGAATGTTGGAATGGGAAATAGCTTTGGACATAATTCTACATTACTACTCCACTAGCCTGAAACTTTTACTGATGATACTTGATTCAGACTTTCCAACAAAGTGACATCCAATTGCTGAGTGAGTGGGTGAGTTTACTCGCTTGCCCGCTTTTAGCAATATTCAAGCAATATCATTAGCAGGGGACACCAGAAATGGGCTTTGCATCAAAATGTTGAAGGTGGTGTGAAGTATCTGATTGGGCTTGAAGGATGAAGCTGACAAAAGTACCTGATGGTCTATAAAATACAAGTTGACAACCTGCAGGTCAAATTATGATCATGAAGCAAGTCTAGGAGAACTGTCACAAATTTCATTCAAATACCTGATTCATAGTGAAGACCGTTTCTCATGATTCACTGAAAAAACTGAAGTCTCTGTGAAACATTTTGATCTCTGGCCATTACAAACTCAACCAATTTGTTCAGAAATGTGAATACAAGAATTTCCGCGATCCTGTGATATACTCACATTCATAGTGTGTAATAATGAACTAAACAGAACCGCGATACATGATTGTATAGGTAAGTAGGGAATCCATTGAGCAATCCAAGCAGTTCACTACATGTGTTCTGTACCTTCAAACCTGGATCGAAGAAGGTCGTCAGTGAGCACTATCTAATGTCTTCAGAACCTGTATCATCACATGACATAAATCGAGTTGAGGTATGTTTTTTCCTACTAACCCTGGTCATAAAGTAAGTATGCAGCCCCTTCCCAAATTCTACCATTAATTAAACCATTAAATAAAAGTTGATCATAATAAAAGGTAAAGCTGGCCATCACAAATTGATACTTCAATTTCACAAGATGTGTTTATGCACACATATTAGCTTCAGACATGAGTTAATATTGTTTTACGCCACTTTAGCTGTATTCCACCAACATCATGCCGGGTAACACCAGCAATCAACAAATAAATCCATGGGGGAATGAAACTCACATACACAGTGAATGCTGTAACCAGATAAGTGTAAATTTGTGTGAGAAATAATTCAAAGGAAGCAAACTCAGGTTGCACCTCAACTTAATGAAGTTGTTACATAATCTGGTGCCCATCAGCTCATATAATGATTATCAGTTAACATAGATACACATTCTGGCAGGTTGTTTATTGATGAAGACTTTTAATTGTGCCCTGCCATTTAGTAGAGAATGGCAGAGATCTCAGAAGACTTCTCTGAAATATGGTTTTGTATTTCACCTTTAATAATCCAAGAACTAATTGAGTTCCATCCCCAGTTCACCTGTGTTGACAGGAATGCAAACTTCACAGTAGCACATTGGTAAAACATGTTTATTAATACACTGAGAATCCATAAACTGAAGAAATTCAAAGATATTGCAATGTTGCACAATAAAGACATCTTTGAATTTTCTCACTTTCTTCATTTGAGCCTTTGTTACAATTATTATGTAGTCTTTCACAGAGTTATCTCCCTTTGACCTGAGTGCCTCCAAGTGTATGGGATGCGTCTGCAGGCACATTGTCTATCAAAGGTTATAGACTTAGCCAAGTGCATGAACAGAAAGGAAAAGAAGAACAAAGAATAATACTCCTGCAAAGATCATATCATCTGTCTACCTAAGACTGAAACAGTGGTAACCACAATCGTATTGTGTGTGAAGTGAGGTTACAAGACAGTTTTCATGACAAAAGGATGACAAAATTTCAAGCACAAGCACTGACAAGAATAGACTTTGTCAGCAAGCATCATAGAAAAAATGAGAAAAGGAATTACATCTCCATTGAATGTGTTTTGGCATATATGATAAAAAAAACTATGAAGAATGAAATATGAAATATACAGGTTCTATTCTGTTGATAATTTTCAAGGGTCATCCAAACTTGTGATTATGTAGAAAGTGTTTGTCAGGACAACAACACTTTCATCACAGCTTGATTTTTGTAGAACTCTAGCAAACTATCAAGGGAAGGAACCCATTGTATCAATGGTATCTGACGTTATGCTCATGAATATAACATTTAACAGAAAAAAAAGCCCTTGTGACTAGTACTACTAGACAGGCAACTTATCTTGTGTATGTGTCATTAAGGATGGCGACAGAAGTGGAAGAAGTGTGGGTAGTACTGGACATGATACGTTGTAGATCTCATCTACTGAATATACTGAATAACATTCTCCTGGGTCTTCTCCAGGTTCATTTCTACCTTGTGAATCATGATTCCTCTGCAAAATGATAGACAGGGCAACTGCACATCTTCTTCATCAGGAGTATTTAGGATAAACCTTCCCACATACAACCTCCATGACAGATCCAGCACACTGGTGACATTCAGTGCATTACAAATCAAGGGCCAACTCTAAACATGGTGATTCTGCAGGAGGTCCAGATCTAAACCATTGTCATAACCATTTTGAACAGAGCGCAGAACACCCTCATGGCTCTTTCGGGACAAGGTCCCATACAACAAAACATAATCAAGTTGTACCGAACACAAAATGTCAAGAGTTTCTGAATATAAGTCACCTTATGAGCTGTATAACCATTACCTTTACATAGTCTAAGATAGCGTAACAGGAACTTCATGTTTGTTTTGTCACCTTATGAACTGTATAACCATTACCATTACATAGTCTAAGATAGCGTAACAGGAACTTCATGTTTGTTTTGTGATTGTAGTTATCCATGTGTAACATCAGATAACAGTCACGTGAAAAACAAAACACAATCAGTTTTCATTGCACATTTGCAGAATAATTTCATTTTTAAAACGAGAAAAAATGTAAAAAATGAAAATATTACAATTTCTGAACCCTATGAAAACTGAGAGGTGAAAACAGACAGATATTAGAAATAACTAGTTCTTGGATATCTGATTCATTATTTGGGAGGTGAAACAGAAATACCTAAAAGGCAATGCGACAGTTTTAAAATGGCACTACGATATTGTACTTGCGTCTACATTCAGGAAGATTCCATGTGAAATGAGAGTGTTGGTTTTGAAATACATAAATGCACACAACATGAACATGGAAGATACTGTGTGTTTGCTTCTCTCCTGGAGGAGTCAACCACCACAATGGCAAGGATAAAAGGGAATACTCTAAAATGAATCTGGTTTTAAAAGAATTCAAAGATCAAATGACAAAGGAAGTAATGTTCATACTTTAAAAAAATCCAGTCCCTGAAGAAGTCTTTCCACCAACATGTGACCTAAATAATCACAAAATGAAAAACCTTAGAAAACAGAATATCACATACTGAAATAACTGCTACTGAGACCGTAAGTCCATACACTCTCAATCCATATGACACCTTCATGGTGACCATGCATACACAGGTATCAACCTAGAGGACAGTTGGACCCTTTACACAGTAAGTTCATCTGCAGTACTACAGTCAAAAGGACTCTTCCCTGGGACGAGGCTGTGCACTGTGCACCTTGTAGGCTTGTGCTTACTCGATACTCTTGGAGATGAATTCCAGAAATCTCTTGGCATACTGGTCAGGCCTGACCGTGGATATTTCTGCCCCTGCCCCGTGCTTGACTGTCTTGGCAGCCTGTGCAGTCCGTTTCTTCATACCGTATTTTGTCAGGACATCAATGAGGGCCATGAAATAGATTTCTTGATCTGGAATGGAAGATGATGGCGTATGAGAGCTGAAATTGCTATCGGAGGAATTCAGGCGAAATGACATTGTTTGTTGCTTAACACAATATCCAAGCTATGTGGTGGTGGTGGAAGTGGTGACTTACAAGGAGAGCAGCGATCAACAGGACAAAATCTGCCCAGACGTTAGGTCTGACCACTCTATCCAATATACAGACTGCTGGCCTATAGCTGGAATATTGCTGAGTGTTGGGCTAAAGTAAACTCACTCACAATCCGATGTGATCCCAGTCACTGAGTTCATCCACTTGTGGAAAGCCCAAATCCATCAAAATTGTTTTGGTCTGGTAGTCCACATAGTACCATCAAATCATACTAAAATTAATGCTGAGAGTCAAATTGGAACAGACTGGTGTTGGCACAGACTGTCATCCCTCCTTAAATACGAACAACAGGCCAGTGTTTGTTTGCTTGTTGTTTAATGCCACACTCAGCAATATTCCAGCTATATGGCATCTGTAAATAATCGAGTCTGGACCAGACATTCCAGTGATCAACAGCATAAGCATCAATCACGCCAATTAGGATACAATGACATGTGTTAACCACTTCAGAAAGTCTCTCCACCTAATCCCGTATTAAGCCTCTTAAGACAGGTATGGGTTGAAGACCAATTGTAACCTGGATTTTCATGGGTCACCAGTGTTTGTAGAAGTTCTAAACCAGTCCCCCTGGGATTCCTCAAAACTAAAACTTACTTTCACTACTTTTAATTGCATACTGCTCCAGCTTGGAGTCCAGCTCTCCTGTGAAGGGGGTGGGTGTGGCAGGTTGGGGGGCTGTCCGGTGGGGTGGGGCGGCTCCATACCCATCAGTCATCTCCTCCTCCAACCCATTCTCTTCCTCCTCGTCTGCCCCCTCCTCCCCATCGTCAGGGGGCTGGCAAGTCGGTCTGATCTGAATCACCTTTCTCAGGGTCGTGGATGCCCACAATGAGACTGTAGTCCATTAGGTGCAAGCTTGCCAAGAACTGAAAAAGTAGATTTCAAACTGTACTTTAACAACTAGGAAAATGAAAACAGGTATGAAATATTCATTTCTACCCAACTAAGCTGCCTGGTGAAAGAGTCAGTGACACAAATCTTATTTTACATATACTTTATATGTAGATAGGTGACTAGTACCTACAGTCATCTCAGTTGGATGGAGCTACCATTAGACGATGACAGCAATCAATGGCAGCATAGGATGCTCTGGGGTATTCAGGGATGGAAATAACTTTAAAGCTGCTAGTGTACTCCGGTACAGTGGCACATGTAAAATCACTTGCCCTGATCACTTTTCCACTATACCGGCCGACTCAAGGTCAAATAAGTTCCAGCATCAGACAAGACAAAATTATCTTCTCAGTAAAATATGAAGAAGATTCTCAAAAGATCCACAAGACATACAGAACCGTAACCTAAATTCGTGGATAACCTTGATTCGTGGATCGCGAGGATATTATTATTAACTAGCTCGTAAATTAAGTCTCGACTGGCGTCCGCGTCCATGGCGCTTTTGATGTACATACAATGCCACGCCTCGCTGATAAAAAAGTTCTGAATCTCTGCATTACACGCAAGTACACTAAATATAATTGTCCAGCATTGAGATAAATAGCACCAGATCACTAATACCACCATTACCAAATTATATTTTTACGAAATTTCAAGTAAAAAAGATACCGTTAGCTCCAACCTTCGCACTTCTCGTTGTCTGCTTTCCTTGGTGTCAATACTTACTGCAGTGTTTTGTCGTACATAGTGGTATAAAGTAACCGACTACGTAATGCACGAAACAAGGTTACGTCACATTTTGTGGGCACACGAATGGGTGATGATAGCAAATGGCTTCCGTAAACAAATGTGTCATTCACGAGTGGAATATTAGGCATTTTCAATTTGCTGAATCAATGAATAAAATAATCAGTGCATATACAAAATGAAATCATGCATTTAAAATATGAATTTCGTCGCAACTTCCCTTTTATCCACGAATCAAAGTTACGCGAGTGTATATTACGGAACATACATCATCATAAGCATCCTTGGAAGATTGTTTTTCAAAGATTTCTCAGACTCCCCACAGAATACATGATGGTCAAGCACAAACATGTTGGGAATACTATGATAAGTCATCACATCTGAGCAACTGTGTATCAATACCTCAACGTCTTTTGTTAATGTCGGCATGAGTTTATCCTTGGCTTCTTGTCCAACTTGAATTGTGACGCCATCATTCACAAAGTCCACATCTTTTAACGTTGGCAGACTCTTTTGCTGTAGAACATAAACAACCACCATCAAATCATGGATAAAAATGTGTCCAAATTTGAATATAATGTTAACATCTGTATGACTGGAAGATAATATGTTTTAGAACTGAGGGCACACATACATCTTATACAGTCAATACATATGACAACACTAGTGAATTTATTGAAATACTTCGACAGTATGTGCACATGTTTATTGTCACATCAGCAAAATTCAAGTTGAATGATGGTGGCCTGTAGATAAATCTGGACCTGACAATCCAGTGATAGATATTGTAAGCAAAGATCCATGCAATCAGGGTACAATGACAAGGCAGGAGGGAGCAACCCCCTTTTCTTCAGTGTCAGTCAAGCCTGACCACTTGGCCGGTTAAGTCACCTCTTACGGCCAGCATATTTTCTTTATGCTCTCTCTCTCTCTCTCTTGCCGCGCACACATATCTGTAACATTCAGGTCGACTAGTGACACTATTCTCTCTCATGATGACAACGAAGTGAGGGGGCTTCAATGCTAATATGTAATATATACTGTGTGTCAGTTTCATGTAGAATAAAGCTCAGGTACAACTGAGTGAGTTTAGTTTCACACCCATGTGATTAATCAAACCCGGGGTCTTCAGCATGATGAGCAAATGCTTAACCACTAGGCTACCCCAACACCCTAGATCGCCCTGGAATGGACTTTTCAAGATGACATACCCTTTCTTTGTCACTTGCTTGTCTGTCAACTGTAGAACCCTGAAACAGATGAAACAATAAAATGCATTGTTAAACAACAAAGCAACATACACTGAGTATAACCTTTATCGAGGTGGAGTGGAGTGGAGTGGATGCAGGTAGATAAGGGGTGGGTGTAAATCTATCATAGGATCTTCATATTGTGACTCTGGTGCGTGTTACTCCCTCTCTTTAGTTTCTGCCTATGTCCATGTAATAAATTGGGCGGCTCACCCAGGATGTTTTCAGAATAAGTTGCAGTAGGTGAGGATTCAAACCCAGGTAGACAACTCTGTATGGCAATAGTAGCCCACTACTATTCAGTGTTACGAGAATAGTGTCTGGCCCTCTGACAAATCCGGCAGATTAAGCCAATGGTCCGATAGAAGTCTACAACCCACCGGCATTTGTGTCCGACTGTATATTTCACAATGACTTTGACTGAAGTTGTTATATGTGACATGTGACACTTGTTTGCTGTTTATTTTATCTTAACTTTTCTTCTGTTTGTTAATAATTTCAAAGCCAATTATAAGAAATATTAAATCTGAAATGTGTGTTTAATTTTATTCCATGGGTCCTGTGAATTTTCAATGGGTCAGACAGACATCTTAAACTTACAGGACCCAATGTCCTGTTACTTTGAAACACCATTCGTGAACACTGACTATTGAAATAGTATCCTAACAGAAGTAAATCAACTTTAAAGTAATTAAACCTTAAAGGTCACATGCAACGTAAAACACAACTTTGCAGATTCTGATACCTTTCGGTATGGACTTACGGAAAAAAATCATCAAAAATGCAAATTCAACTTATTAAGTTGAAAAATAACGCGATGAAAAAAAATGCGAAATCGGAGTTCAAACAATTCACTAAGTTTCCCTGACTTTTCGGGGGAAAACTGGTTTCAACAGCTGGGCTGCGCTCATAGCAGGTGCGCGGTGAAATAGGGATTTAGCAACTGGAAGCGGGTTGTCTGGTGAATACTCAGTGAAGGCTTTGGTGTGAGCTATTTTTCTAATGTTTTGTTGATATCTCACAGGCGCGAGCTTTTTATATGTTATGACAGTAAATTAACTGTTTATATAATTTCATTTGTCTATTTCACCTGCGTTCTTCTTACGAGTCACTTTCTCAGTTCGATGCTTAAAAGCAATGTCATTATTTAGCGTTGACAGAATTTCTAACTGTGATATAGATGTGGCGTTGTCACAGACAAAACTCAATGTCTTGTATTATTGACACCTGTGTGTCTGCCTGCCTGTCTGCTAATGACAATATTCAATACACAGCTGCTATCACTGACCACATGCAATTTGAACTTAACACCAATCAGGCTATACACCATAAACAAAATGCATTGATTTATGGCCCGAGTTCGGTCTCTGTCACATTATGTAATTACACAGACAGGCAGGTGTGATACTTGAACACATGACATGTTATGATGTCTGTTGATTGTAAAATGTTATACACAAACAATGAGCATGTATTTACAAAACCCAACATCTCTATATATACACACACAATGAGCCGTGAGAGCATCTGCTAATGAACCAGCCGTTACACTTGAGTGCACACCCACCCGCTCTGACTGGGTTCGGTATCCCGGCTTCTTCGTTTCTTGGGAAGTAAACCGAAGTACACAATATTGCACTTTTGATTTGCGATTGTACGCTTATAATTTTGTTTATATGTTTTTTCATAACCAGCAATGTATATTATATGTCATGAATAAGTGATACAGTGGAAACCTGATAAGTAAAATTTCAAGGGACTCGCCAAAATTGTTTACTTATCAGGTATTTTACTTATCCAAACTTATAAAAACCTGCAAATGACTACCATATGCATGTATATGTATCCATATGTAACAATGAACAACTTATCAGGGCTGGCCTCCAGTTGTCAGTGTATTGTCAACTGCTTGACGCCAGCGAGCTGTAAGTAGGATGTTTGTTTGACTGGAGACTGACACGACTGCCCCTCATGTTGGATTATGTGGTGATCGCTAATTTAGTTATCCAGTATCTTTTGTTAAGTAATTTACTTCCAGGGACCGTGAGAGACGTTTAGTTAAGCGGTATTGTTTACTTATCCGAGTTTAGTTAACCAGACTCTAATAGTGATAATTCATGAAGAAATTTGCCGGGACCAAAGAAAAGTGTTTACTTATCAGGTCTGTTTAGTTAAGCGGTCTTTACTTAGGCGGTTTCCACTGTAATTGTGTTTTAATTATGTTTGATTTTTTGGTTGCATGTGACCTTTAACAATTGTATTAATCAACATAACAGGATACAGTATTGCTGTCAATCTTGGCAAGTTTGAAATGTTCATCCCTGTTGCTTCTTGGAACCAGATGGAAGTAGCTGTAATCTGAAGTTGTTGACATCCTGCCTATCGTCCCCAAGGCCATTTGGAAATTCACAAAATTCTATTTATAAGTTATTCACTTATTGCAACCATTGACACGATTGTTATGCATCCTTTCAATGAAGCTATTGGCATTTATTAATTCCTATTGATATGGTACTATCTTACGGTACACAACTATTCACGATAGTTCAACAGATCATTACTTGCCTACTTAGTGCCCTACTTTATGATTAATCAATTTCTTCATCTCCAGATCAATGATTTATTGACATATCAACTTCTTGAGACACTCAAGAGGATAATTGATACATATAAAAAAGACAAAATGTTAAAGAGAATTGACAAATTTAGCCTGATATTATTGATATCGATATATGATCTGTTTATCTATATAATGGACCTCTGATGTACTGAAACAAAGACATTTGATCAGCAGTGACAAAACATATTACAGTGTTGAAAAGTTTTATTACTTTATTCATTATAAAGTGCTGACATATCAACAACCACTATCAGGGTGAACTAAGAGTTAGTTAGTGAGTGAGTTTAGTTTTACAACACTTTTAGTTTTAGCAATATTTCAGCACTATCACGGCAAGGGACACAAGAAATAGGCTTCACACATTGTACACATGTGGGGAATCGAACCCCTGTCTTTGGTGTGATGAGCAAACGCTTTAACCAACAGGCTACCCCACCACCCCAGGTGAACCAAGACAAGAGGATACAAGGATTGGTCTCTGGATTTCAGCCCTGTATAGAGAATACAGTACCACTGCTGCTTGGACCACCTGTGCCCCTAACTACCTAGACCGCCTCCGTGGTGTAGTGGTTAGGGCGTCCGCCCGGAGTGCGGAAGGTCGCGGGTTTGATCCCCGACCGCGTCATACCAAAAGACGTTAAAATATGGTACTTGTTGGTCCCTGCCTGGCACTCGGCATTAATGGGTACATCAAGGACTGGTCAGCTCAGTGTCAGTATAATGTGTCTGAGTGGGGTATTCATGCTTCACTGCGGCATGGTATCACCGTGGGCTAGCACCATAAAACCAGCTTCAGTCTGGGCTAGTACAAGCAGCTGCACATACACATACACAGCATGCACGTCTTATGAGCGAAATATTCTCAAACACGACGTTAAACCCAATTCCACCACCCTAACTACCTGGAAGTCAAGGAGTCCTTGTCATAACCCAATACAATAGTATCAAATCTCAAGGTCCCCTGGAGGCTCTTCAATACTTCTATCATTCTTCCTGACACTGATATATGCAATATATTCACACAACTGATTTGATGACACACACCCCATTTCAACAGACTGAATAGTATCATGTTTCTGATATTGTATAAATACATAAAATGTAAATATTAATACACAAACACTCGCCCCCTTTATTCAAACTCTGTATGGATGAAAGTGTCAGTGATACTAGAGGCTTTGGGGTCCTGGCTAAGGATTGGCCTTTCGACTCTGCTTCGATCAATACACACAAAGTCCTCTTTGTCAGCTTATGTTCTGACCACAGGTATTACCTGTCTACTCAGAACAGACACGCCTTGTCTGATTCACCTGCTGAAGAACAACTAATGTCTGTACACGAATAGAAATTTGCTTAACCCTGCTGCCCAAGTCAGTGTACTCGTGTTGAAAGTTTGCTTAGGCCAGCAAAAATGGTGAACATTTAGCAACAATCAGGCTAGGGTTAATGTTTGTCTCTGTACAAGTAGCACAACATAGCCTATGTTAATTCATTTGTATTTTACATGGACACTCATCCGTCGATCATAAGCAAATGAAGAGTTGCAAATGGACTGCATTATGCTGACAGTGCATTTGGTCTGGGTCCTGTACATGATGTGAATATCATGGTACTGTACTTCCATGAGGAAAGACTTAAGTAGTTGTCAGACTGTATACTCTCATGAGCTCAACAACTAACTCCTACTCAGATCAATAGCCACAAATTGATTGACTTGGCGTTAACCCTCATGTTACAGTATTTCCGTTGTGTCAAGGCATGTCAGCATAATTTGAAGACTGCTCCAAGTGATGGAGGTCCTGAGGCTGTACACATACTCATGAATACCCGAATTCAACAACTACTGTGAGTTAGGACAGAGCAAGTGAATTGGGTTTAACATGACTCTGTACAATGTTTGAGTTATATCATGTTATGTCAGTGTTTGGATTCATTGTGTGTGTATTTGTTGTTTAGAACCACACTCAGCTGTCTGGTCCAGACAATCCAGTGACTTGTATTTGAGGCAACAATGGTCCAATGATGTGAGCCTGACCACATGGCTCAGTACGTCATCAAACACAACTAACTTGGAGCGTCAGCACTGGAGGAATGCTCAAGTAATGCAGGTCTTACACATTCACCAATGTAGTGAAAGTACATAGTGTCCTAAAAAATATGCAGCTATTCTATGACAGTATCAAATAATACAATTACAACTGGAGTAACTTTGTCTTTAATAAGCTTACACAATTAAAACACAGATTAAGCACACAGGCTGTGAAAATTGTGATGTTTTTTGCCAGTCGTACAATATCATAATATCCTCTTACCAATGTAGATAAAATTGTCATAAAGCGATTTTTTCTGAAAACACCAGGAATACCTCTCCGAAGTTTTG